CAAAGGGGTCGTAATTTCTTAACTTATGTATATGCAAAGCAGATCTATCGACAAGTAAGTCTCTGTTGAGGTATATGCGCACAATATTGCACAAGGCTCTACGAATCGTACAGACAGTCGGATCTTTGTTCGCTGTACGGCTGCCGCTCTGCACGCGGGGTAAGCAGGTCAAGGCGTCACGTTCCAGGCTTTGCACATTACATACACAGTCATGAACTAAACTAACTGGACAATCTTCTGACTGTAGTTCGGCAAAACACTGCCGTTTATGTATCTTCGCAGCAAGCAAAGCGTGTCGACCTTAACTTCTGTACTGCTTGGGTGCACGGTGTACTGCACACCAATCAAGATACTGTTGCAGATCCTTTTTACAGTCTTGGCCGAAAGCCGACAACTCCGAAAGATGAGCCTAGGCCTGAAAGACGAAAACAACACAGTTCAAGCTGACACTATGAAAAAAAAACTATGTCATGGGCCCAGATACTTATGTACTCTCATAGACGAACATACATTCATACTTACTTACGTACTTCCTTACATACAGACAGACACCGGGTACATGCATAAGTCTTGTCTTCTGACACCTTTTCCCAAAAGAGACCTGCAGTGAGGCCTCTAACGCAGGTTCTTGCGAGGACAGCTGGCCTTCTTAAGCTTGGCCTGGTGTAATTACACGATCCTACCGCTGCTTCTAACTTACGTTCTGGGAGGCAGCACAGTATCAGTAACAGCAGCAGTAGCAGTAGGCCTTGATAATGAATTGAAATCAAACTCGAAACTTACGATTCAAGCCCACGTATGAGCCTTTCTTGCGTGAATCGATCGCCTACCAGGCAGCCAAGTGCTAGGGTTGCCCTCTGAATCAGCTCCCCTTGAAAGTCTGCTCTGTGAGTGTTACAGTTGTATGCTGGACTGGAAGCTTTTACCAATGAAGAGTGGCTTCAACAGAAGCTAAGCGGTACGAAGGCCAAAGCTCGAAGAAGCAGCGAATTCCGAATTGTCCGGGCTGAAGCCTCCAGAATTGTCTACGATAATTCTGCACTTCACCAAACCTGGAACTTAGTCTTGCCCGTAAGATGATGATAATGAGGAGGCAGTTTCCGGCTCTGTGCAACGGTTTGAGACGCGTGCAGGAGGAACCCCCCTGTTGCAGAGGACCTAAGCGCCTTCCTGTACCGACCTGCTGCCCGGCACAACAAACAGGGTCCGGTTTGAAGCCTCACTCTCCTCTACAGCCGCTCTTGAGAGCGTAATGCTTGAGTAGTTCGCATTCGGCTACTTCAGTGCGGTTCGGGAATCTATTCACATGCGCTCATTGGCATGCCTGTGAGCCTGTGAGTTCAAGCGCCGCAGTGTCGGGGCTCCCCCAACTCTTTGAGAGAAAGAAGGCTCCGAGCCAAAGTGGGCGCAAATCTGTTCTGGGTGGCCTCTATGGTGTAGCCGTGTCTTGTATGCGGCAGGCCAGGTGCTGAAGGGTTCAAGATTCGAGGCTAATTTATCCGACTGGCTCATCCGAGCACTGCGGTGCTGCGTTCAAGCTGATTCTATGGGTGTTGATGGCGATTGCCTTGCGACCACTCTTGATCATCTATGGCCCCGCCGTCAGCGGTGCTTGGGCTCCTTGAAGATGCGATGCGGGGTTGATCCCGAAGCTCATCCTCGGATCAAGCCAAGGCTGAATGTTGGCTTGGAAGAGCCTACGGGTGAGACGCGAGAGAGCACAACGTTCTGACAGGATCAGTGCTACTTGAGACCTTGTCGTTGTGCCTTCACCACGAAACTGCGAAAGAATTCACTAACGGCGACGACTTCTACTTCTACATTAATCTTTCTACTTAAATGTCCCAGCTCTTTGCTAAGATGGTGCTGCCCGACAAACTGCGAGATGACTTGCAGCCACGTCTCAGCAGGCAAAGGATGCCCATCAGCATGTTCCACAGGCCGGCCACGAAGGTCAGGCAGACAAAGCACCTCAAGGCCAATGAGGCCAGACTAAGCGCAAGCTGGGAGCCAGCTCTTCCGTTTCTTTGCAGAGTTGCACGGCCCTGTGTCTCCACCAAAGGACCGCCGTTTATGAGTTCTCCCTTCTGCCGCCGTTCGCAAGTCAGAAACATGAACACGTTCTGTTTGATCCAAGGCTGAGGAGGACGGGATGGCTTCAATGTTTGCAGTCAGTGAGAGAAGCATCTTCCAAACTTGGGCTCTTTTTGGCTGGCTTTTGTAAGCTAGACTCTGCTCCCAAGCAGTGCTCGCTCCTTCCCAGAGAGGCCAAGCGGCTGTGTCACAGCGAGTGTACCGATGAACCTCGTCGCTTGGTCTTCGACAATTCCCTTGAAGTGCTGTTTGTAAGACGCTGCTCGAATGCTGGTACGATGAGCCTGGCATATTTACAAATTCTGCGCACTCGCTCCAGAACTCGGCGAGCAAAGACGACAAAGGCGGAACCGGGCACCCGGCAGGTAAAAGAAACCTCGCCCTCGAAGCTCTGTGAGGAAGTTCGCACGGTTGAAAACTTCCATCTGGTAACCTTCGATGGACAGGAGATGGTCAAGTCATGTCAAGTCACGACTGCCTCGGAGCCTCGCATTACAATTCCAAAACTCCAAATCCCGACGTTAAACGCGGCCGGGCATCCTTCCACCCATGGGGAGAACCGACCAATGAACTTGAGCTTCCGCATGCTCTCTACGTCGGCCTGTCAAGGCTGTAAGCTGTTCAGCACCAGAGGAGCCAATGCATAGCAACACGAAGCGTAGGCAATCCAGACAACCAAACACATAATGTTTCTCCGCGAATTCTTGCACCTGCCACTATATCACATGGACCGACTGAAGCGACTGAACCAGGCCGACAAAACAAACGATAGGGTTTTCAAGCATCCCGGCCTCCAGGAGGAATGTAACAATTCCAAAAGCCACCAGGTAAGCGTTCCTTGCCAGCACCAATACATGGTGGCATGGCGCACACGTGCCACTAGTTGAGCTCATGGCTAGGTCCGCTAGGTCGTAGCAAGTCCGCCATAGGCCCCTCGAACGTGTCCAGCAAGTACATGCTCCTTATTCCCTGCATTCGTCGGCCGACTACAAGATACAGCAGAAAGCCGTTGCTTCTCACCCAAGATCATACCTGCCACGACATTCATCATAAGGCTGTTCAATGCCAAGGCACAGGACATAGGCAAAAGGAGAGGTCAGGCCTCAAATTGATTCGCCAGCACTCCGAGCCATAGGATTTCGGATGCTCACAAGCAAGCCGAAGGGCTTTTGTTCGGCTTAGGGTTCGAAGGAGAAGGGTTTCCGACCGTCACACACAAGGCTAGAAAGGCTTCATCACAAACACAATATCCGACGCTCGATCATAGCTCCCGAACGTCAAACAGCTGTCCAAATTTACCCCAAGGTTTACGGCTTTTTTTGCCTCCCGCATCCCTCAATGTTTCCGCCAACGCATTCCTAGTCATGCTGACGAAGCAAACTCTGCTTGAACCGGCAATCTTTTTGTACGGCAGACCCTCTTGTCTTGTATGAAATTTCCAGCTGATGAGACTAGTTCAGAATTGTGCACCACCCTCTCAGTGTTTGTCGTCTAGTAAGGGTTTCGGGGCACGACTTCACTCCAAGGCCATTTTTGATCGTTCTCGCAAATCGGGCAGAGTTGTGAACCCGAAAAGAAAACTAAAAGCCTTCCAGCTGGACGCCTAACTAATTCGTTGAGCTGCCATAGCCGAAGTTCAGCAGGCCCAAGATACCGATGATTGTGGTCGCTAGCCCACCTGCACAAGCCGTTGCGTGGCAGGGGATCTCATATATCTTCTACCCCGGATAACTGGAGCTTTTAGACGGAGCCTGCCTTTGGTGTCTAACCTACTCTTCCTTACGACTTGCGTCATTGTGTACAACTTCTGCCTCAGCCCCGAAGCCTCCGTTGAAAGCAGCCCTCGGCCTAGGAAGCAGAGCACGGAGATTCCGGCCGGGCCCTCCTCGATGTACTTACCGAGCTCCTGTGCTCTGCTCTGGCTTACGGGTGCTGCTTCGGATATTATATTGTATTATATTATATTATATTATCTTATATTATATTATGTTATGTTATGTTATGTTATGTTATGTTCTATTCTACTTTTCTACTCGCGAAACGTATTTTAAAGACCGGATCCCTCGGCTCTTCCTACGCTTCCAGGCAAACATAAAGCTATCAATCTCGGGGTCTCCAGGTGGCTAGGATATCCTTGCACCACGAAGTCTCTAAGGGGGCTTAGGCGTAGGCTTGGGGGGCTAAGCTTCTGCATTTAAGATGCTTGAAGGTTTGTGGCTTCGGCTTAGGCTCAGGGTTTACTGCTGGGCATATTTAGGGCTGCTAGGCCAGAAGCTGAGTAGAAAAATCGGGAAAATACTGACCAATTTAGAGTGAAGCAGGTTTCATTTCTCATCATTCATTCAATCTCTGTGCTGTGTTCTAACTCTCCTTGTTCATGTCGCTTCCTCGCCTCCTGCAACCTTTAACCCTGAGCCTAGAGGGCCTGGCCCTAAACCCTGAACAAATTTTGAACCAGAGCCCAGCTTTTGACGCGCACACTTCTAAGGAAACCGCGAGCACACCACACGCATCTGCAGAAGTAGAGGTGCCGTGGCGACATCTTACAGAAGCTTCTAACGACTCTGGAGAAACGACACAAAGACACCAATGAGAAGATACCAAAAGACGCATCCACTTGGGTCTGTGTGAGCGTTCGGCTCTGAAAACTCCGGCCCCTATAATCTTACCTACAGTAGAGCGCATACTTGGTCCTGCCAGGCAAAGCCCGTCATGTCTCACAGAGCTGACGAAGCTCAGCTTCCATCTCACCGAAGACAGAAGTGCAACTCAGAAAGGCAAAAAAGAACTAACCAGTCCCGAAGACAAACCGTGCTCCTGAAAGCACTCAAAGTTGCCTCGGCACAACCAGCAAGAGACAACTAGGTACTTGTAGTGCTCAAAGTAACGCCTCTCGGCGCCACTTACCACGACTGAACCTCGACGTCCTGCTCACAAAGCATCATCCCCAAACTCAGAAGTAAGCGCAAAGAGACGAATATCCCTCCATTCGGTATGCTTTAGATTATCCCCCTGAACTTTCCGTTGTATCTTACTTGGGAACCCCCAACGCCCGATCCTCCGCCGCCATGGCACCCGCTACCCGCGCGGCTTCGAGACCCTCCTGAGACTCGGGGCTCGAGAGTCAGCAAAAGTTTGCTTAGGGTTTTCGCGTTTGAAAGCACGTTTTCTTTTGTGTCGGCGTGCAGACTCGGACGATCCGGGTGAGGTTGTTGGTGCGTGGTCGCATGAGTGGTTTAGGTTGTTTTAAACCCCTCTTTTCCGCCTGCCATGTTACTGTTAGTCAGAATGCCTGTCAGGCAGCGATATTGGCAGGCAAAAGGGGCACTGCTAGGGGGATTTTTTTAGGGCTGAGGAATTGAGCCTTTTGGGTGTCGGGCCAGAGGAGGGACGGAGAGGGAAGAAGAGGGAGTAGTGAGTAGGGCCTACGGAGGGAGAAGGACGGTTTGCTGGTCGGACGAAAAGGTGCTGTGTCTGTAGACGCTGTATCCCTAGACCGAGCGTTAATGACGCAAAGATGGCCGAAGAAGGGGAATGTGCATCTCTTTCTTGTGGCTCCGGACAGACTTGAAAGCTGTAAAATCCATCCTCGCTAACGAAACCCAGAAAGCTCCTCATGCCAATAACATGTCCATGCCTCCGGACTCGTGCACGTTACAAGCTGGCGCAGTCCTGAGCCTTGGTGTATGCCGCTTCCTGGAACACAGGGCGAAGTGAGATTGATCGTTGGGTGTGTGTTACGTTGTTTCGGCTAAGAAAACTACGCAGAACTTCTGACACGGTTCCTGATGTTCTGGATTTGTTGAACCTTCACACCTTCTGCTTGCATCTTTTTTCATCCAGGTATCTTCTCATCTCTGTTGTTCATGCTTGTGCTATTCCAAGAGTATCAGTAGGTGTAGTCTTGTGTGTGTGTGTATAGGTAGAGTGGAGACGAGATGACTTGAGCAAGCATGAGTCTGTGCGCATCTAATTGTTCATATATTGATTCATGCATACTGGTCGACATACACATGTACATATACATATGTACACATACAGGTCAAGTTAGATAGAGACAGGGGCGTAAACTCAATTTCATTTACACGTGTGTAGATGTCAAAAAGGTAGATGAAGATGCGATGGATAGATGGATGGATGGGGGGATGGATGGAAGGAAGGCAGGAAGGACGGATGAATGGATCGACGCAGGGATGGGAGGATGAATGTGTGCGCGTATATAACTCCACATATACATATACATATATATATATACTAACCTATTTATACATGCATATAAATGCGTACATACATGCAAGCATATATATATATATACATATGTATACACAGTTGTGTATATATGTATAGATACATACGTGTGTGCATGTGTGTGTGTGTGCGTATGTGGGCGATGTGTACATATGCACATACATTTACAGACACATATATATATATATACATATGTGTGCACTAATTATATGCATGGTGCTCATTATCATGCTTGTAATTTTGTGCGCCAGCTCTTACATGTAGCCTCAGCATGCAGTGTACAGGTCCAAGCAGCGCGGTGCATACATACAGCTCGCGTGTGTGCGCACCCGAGTGTCTACATAGAACAAACTCATGTACATATACATACATACATACATATGCGTATGTATATACTCATATGTCACATGCCGGACTGTGTGCACATCTTTCTCCTCTTGCTCCTTCGCGGCGGCTAAGTTTGAGACCGCGATATGCAACGGAATGGATGGCCCGTGTGGCGTGAAGCGATGCATACTCCCGGTTGCGGGGATACCGGAGTGAGCGTGTGAAACCTATGAAGTAAGACGTACATGAAAAATGTGCTTCGGATCTGTGTGCATGTAAACATAATCAACTTACATACTTCAGCACGGTTTAGATTCCCCCCTGCCCTTCGCACCTTAAGCTGCTGCTGCACCGTAGGATCCTGCCTTAGGTCAGGCCATCATACAGGAAGTGCTGCAGCAACTCCAGCGGAAGGTGGGCTGAGCGGCAACGCAGCTTCTGCCGCCTGCTGTGCGAAGCCGCCGCCTGCCAGCCAAGGCGGTTCGCGGAAGCACATCAAGGTTCCAGCTGTGGTGTGTGCGTGTGTGTCGTGCCTGTTCTTCAACATGCCAACTGTATTGAGCCTGCATTGAATGCAGCGGAACTTCTGCACCCAGCTTGATCAACACGGCAGGTACATTTATAGGTCCTGATGCAACGACCGCTTACCTTAAAACAACTCATATAGTCACCTTAGAATCACCCCATATATAATCACCCTGAAAGTGCGTAACCTTATAGTAACCTTATAGTCACCCCATAATAGCAAGAAAGGGCACAACGGCAAGGATTGCACTCGAGCCCGCTGCCTCCTCCGTAGCCGCTTGAGGGGGCAGTGCCAGGGCCACCTCTGTTGATCTTGGAGCATACTATGGTAATAATGACATAATCTTATCATCTAACATACTATAGTATCATATAATATTCTATAATATCATCTAATATACTATCATTTCATCTAATATACTATAATATCATATAGTAGAAGTCTTTCGGTATAATGCGGCTTCCTTCTGTGAGTGGATTTGAAGGCCCATGCCAATGCTGAGGTAGCTTCCCCCACTTGGGGACCCACTCTTTGCAAGATGGGGATGGCAAACTTTTGATCCCCATCTTACGTTGAAACAGTGCACACCACAGCAGGTACCGCGATGTAGCTACAACTGAGGATGCATCCCAACAGTACCGTGAGGTTTTGCATCCCCGACCTCCACCGAAGCCCGTCGGAGCCGAGGAGGATTGTGCTCCTTGCTGTTGCCAATGACTAATATCGGCAGCTCTGGCGACTGCTAGACTCTCTGGTTGCATGCTAAGGCTGGATCAGCCTTCACGCGGCTATTTATTAGAGACCCTAGACCTTAAACCGGTCCCTTGCGGCTACTTGGCCTCCAGCTGCAAAGGGGTGCGAGACATAAGAACATCACGTACTCGATTTTGAGGCGCGGTGGTCAATAGTCAATAGGTTTGCAGATCCTGGATGATGCACTTCTCAAAAACATGATCTCGCCAAGTCGCCGCCGGAAAGGTCCACTTTCGCCCCTCGCTCAAAACAGGGACATGGCCAGAAGCACAGTAGGACAGGGACATTTCCATGATTGCTCCGGGAAAACGGCATAATAACATGCAGACTAAGTGACTAACCTGGACGATGTAGGGGTGGGTCTAACGCTCAGGGCTGTACAGGATGGAAGCTTGACTCGCTGCAGATGTGCTCCAACTTCAACCATGTCTATGACTGGGCTCGTCCATATTCGCATAGGAACCGTTTAGTTCTCGCCTTTCAGAAAGCATCACGCAAGCTCTGAAGGCATGATGCTGAAGCAATGCCCTCAAATCCACGTCTTCCGCCCATCCGGCCTGACATGGTGACAGGCCGCAGCAGCCTAGGCCGTTACAAAACTACAAGGCTTCTCCGAGCCAGAAAGCTGCGGAGCGTAGGTCTCGAATGTCGAAAGGCCCTCGAGCGAGATCGCAAGCAACGGCGTGGTGGCCAGCCACGAAGCTCGGTCGAACACATGATATGCTATACTCTATACTATACTATGCTGCGCTAGGCTAGACTATATTGACTATATAGGCTATACTAATATCTTCCAGTGTAGAGGCAACTCAAGCCAGCCAAACTCTGCAGCCAGCTCTTTTCGCGGCCGATGCGCTTGGGCGCAAGACGGAAAAAACTGCTCCACCCAGCCGAGATCTGAAACGCAGACCTGAGGGATGTTCGTCTCACATAAACCGATCGAAGAGCTACAAGAAGAGCTACTAAGGGTGTTACGAAAGTTACCGTAAGGGGCTACCATAACGGCGGGTTGCTAAAATGTGGGCTCTCCGGCTTGGGGAGTACTACTTTAAGGGTTCAAAGTTACTTCTTTCAGGTTTCAAGGTAGGTCTGAAGCTGTATGAGCCTTGTGTAGAGCTACATGTAGCTGAGGCCGAAGAGTCTCCTGCGGATCTGCTCGACGATGGGCATCTGCACAGCCATGACCTTGGAAAGGGTCGCCCCAAGGCGAAGAGTTAGCAAACGCACTCCTCACCGCAGCCGCCAGCTGGAGGCATAGCTTCACCGACAAATTCCCCTAGTTCTAGTTGGTACAGCTCCTCTTGCCCAGGCGGCAGGGACTTGGCGCGCCGCCGCCGGCGCGAAGCCGCGGTAGAAACCCCGGAATCCCTCCTCGGCGCATGCGTCCGGAGTTGCGGAAGGCTCAGTGACGCAGGAAAGACTCACATGAGACTCATGTGCCTTCCAGGTCTCGGGGGGCCTTCATGTCTGTTGACTTGAAGCAGCTTGTGCGAAACCGTTCTTCTTCAGCATGTCCGAAGGCTGAGTTAGCCATGCCACTGATTTTGGGGGCTACGCAGCCTCGTTCTCTGCTTGCTCATCAACGGGTGTTGTCTTGGGGCCCGGGCCCTCGTTTCAGTGCCTGACACAAGGTGACTTTTGAGCTCCAAGTGAGCATTCCCCGTCCTCACGGAGTATGTAGGCGGCACATTGCAGCGAGCTCTGGAACAATCCTGCCCCACACCTCCAGAGAAGTGACGATCAACGGCGTGTGTTGATGGTTCCTCTACAAGTGGCCGGATGCTGCTGCAGAAACAGATACTGTTCGCACTAGGGGCAAGCAAAAACTGAACTAGCATATTTTGCTTGTTTCACTTAACATATGAGCATCATGGACCCATTGTCGCCACCGGTCTTAAATCTGTAAGCTCCGAGCGGCTGTACACGGGTTTTCACAACATCCGCGGGCATGCAGGCAATCTGGGCGACGAAGCCTGACTTCAAGCTGGGCAAGGTGACCTTCAGTGAGCGCGGGTTTTCCCTGTTAGCGTCGGGTTCGAGTTGCTGCCCCTGCTGACGTTGTCAGGACTACCAGAATTTCGCCTTAGATCTGTTTGCTGCGACATGTCGCCACTGCGGTAGATGCATGCTTGATGGCCAGAAAAAGAACACGCTGCAATCGGCACACCTAAGACTGATGACCAAGCTGAACGACCTTAGCCCCTCTGGCAACGTGTGGATCTCACGAGGTTGAACCACGCTTCTACCAC